CCATGAAGATGGTCTTTAATAGACCGAAACGTCCGACGTCGACTTTATTTTAACATTAATACTACATAAATGCATATTCAGATTTTGTTTTTTTGTATTTTCTTTATATATATATATATATATATATATAATAAAAATATATATAAAAACAAACAAAAATTATATATGCATAATATATGCTATTTTAATGTTAATATAATCAACGTTGGACAAAAAATCTATAGTTCATCTATGGGGATAATAAAACATAATTAACATTGAATATATTCAATTCAACATGAAAAGACAATGGACATATAAGATTAAGACTGATCAAAACAGATAATAAAAAATACATATTTATTTTTTTGTTTGTTTTTCCGTATATTTTTTTATTCATACTGTCGGATCTATATCCATATATTTGCTTATATATATATATATATATATATATATATATATATATATATATATATATATATATGAAATTGATTAATCCGACAATTATTTAATATATTTTTATGTTTATACGTTATTTTTTATAGATACAATTTATTTAAGTAAATGCCCCGTTTTTAATTAAACAGTATTAATTACATTTACCGGCCTGAATCTTCGACAAAAAAATTATGGTAACAGGAGTCATGAGTTTTTTTGCATAATTAAGTGGTGAATGTGTTATTACTGAATTCTAAGAGAACGTATAAGAATTGGAGTTTAATTTTTGACTAAGTTCATAGGTAAAGTTAAGGACAGATTTTTTCTGATGTTGTAAAAAAAGATTATTAATTTCTCTTTTTTTTTTTTTCGCTAAAATAAACATATTGTCTCATATTTTTGAACATATATTTTGGGGTTTAATTTTGATTTAAATATCGTGAATTTCTATGTGGGACATGTAGTAGTTGGAGAAGTTTTTTAATGGTGTTCAGTTTACTAAAATTAACCATTTAGTTTGGGAACTTTTATATTGCCATTATGGTCGTTGAAAAAAAGGCTTTAGTTATTGCAGGTATGCAATAATTTTTTTAAGGATATTTGGTTTGATGGATGGACGTGGAATGGAATTATGTCGATCGTTTGATCGACTGGAACGTTTCTAAAAATTTATTTTCAACGGCGACTGAATTTTTAAAAAATGACTTTGGGTTGGTTGCATATTTTTAGAATTTGAAGGAATTCGTGAGTTGATGTGTTGATATAACTCCTTTGGTACTAATGATATCGTTAAGGAAATTTTAATTCGTAGATATAGGTGTTAGGAAATGAAACAAATGGATCATTTTAGTGGATATCAATTTTTAAATTTTTTTATTATTTCATATAAAAGTATCTTCTTACATAGTCTCCGATGATTTTTGGATTTGCATAAAAATAAAAACATTCAGTTAAAAATAAATAAAATAAAAAAATCTCCTTGATAATAATTAAAAAGAATAGCCGAAAATAGCTGGGATATAAAAGAACTTTTCGATTTTTTTATACATTTTTGTGTCAGAAAAGAAAAAAAATTTATACAAAAACACAAGGGAAATTAAATAAATTTGTTCCAACCATAGTACCTTGTCAGTCGTCTTTAACGAAACACATACATATATATATATATATATAAGTATTTGTGTATTTATATATTTTTGTGTATATATATTTGTATATGCGTGTATGAGTGCATGTATGTATATTTATGTATGTAAAACACAAAAATCTACCAAGAGATGGTCTTTTTCTGTAAAGTTGTAATCATCAAGTATGTATAGCCTTTCTACATTCAAAACTCCATTGTCTTTCTTTTACAATTCATCGCTGAAATCGACATACGTTAAAGTTTTATACTTTTAACTTGCAGGTAAAAGGCGTAAGTGAAAAAACTATTTAAAATAGTTATAAATCCAGGTGATTACAATTTATTTTTTTTATGTGAAGGTAAATAGTAAACGTAATGAATGCATTAAAAGTCAGACATTATAGAAAAAGAGAAAAGTTGTTCACGCAAAAAAATGTTAACTCAAGTCTATTTTATCTTAAAAACGTGCTAACACTGTCAACTGGCATATTAACAAAACTTTCTTTTTCCGGACAGTTCTAGATAATGATGTTGTCGCAAGCACAAGGAACCATTAAAGATGCAATTAACATTCTTTTACAAGCATTTAAATAGCTGAAGTCTCAAATCTGTTTTTGATGTTTTTTAAAGTATTTGCATCTAAACAAATAACATTACACGAAATAAAATATGTAGAATTTTTTCTGAAATGGCTACAATCTCTTTAAAATTTAAAAAGAACTCCATTTTAAAAATTTTGCCATGATAATCTTATATTGCTGTGACCGTATAAAGAATGTTTGGTGATCATTTCTCCACTATTTCAAAAAAAAACACAAAAGCTCTTAGTAAATTTTATCTTTTGGCTTTTTTCCTAAACCCTGTTCATTCATCCATTTACACTCTAACTTATAATTTATGTCATTTTTGCGTTCCATTTCTCACCTGCCTTCATATGTTTTAGTAATCAAATTTTCCAATCTCTTTCCTAAATATATGCCTTTTAAGTTTTAACCGTCTCTACCTACTTCAACCTGCTATCAACATCCTTTGTAATTTGCTAAATTTAAATTAATAATGAATCCTGGTAGGATTTATATAATTCTCTCAGAATCCCCTTTTGTATAGTTTGAATATATATATAAAAAGATATACAAATCCTTGTTTTACATCCCTTTCTATTTTCACATATCTGCTAAATGCATTTTTCTATTTTCGTATGTCTAAATAATTTATTTTAATATTTTTTTATGTCTAAATAAAATTCATTTTTTATATTTTTATGCAGGTGGCTTTGTCAGTATAAAGATAAAGCTATCTCTTTCTTTGATTCTAAATATGTGTTCTTTGTTTTAATTTTATCTAAATCTTTGCCATTGTTCAAAAATGTTCGGTCCATGGTATGTTCAGCATCCTCCTGTAGAAAAAAACTTTTTATATTTTCAAGTTTCCTCTTCATCCATAAAGGAGATTATTGTCCAGGGCATTTATATATCATATAAAGGTGGACTAAAATTGCATAAATGTTCTTTATCTTTTTGTTTCTAATAAAATTTTCCTGTTTCTGGAAAGTTTACGTCAACTTAAAAATTTTGTAAATGCATATTTGCTATCTCAATGTGCCTTAAATTTCAATGTCACACTTTCTGTTTTCTGTTAATACACTTTCTAGATATTTAAATTGTTCCACTTTTTGATTTGTGGATCTCATTTACAAAATTTTTGCAGGTTTCATTTTCTATTCTCGTATGTCTACTACAATTCATTTTCTATTTTCGTATGTCTACCGAATTCATTT